TTGATCTTGTTCCAATAAAATTGTGCGAATATGTCTTAAGTCTAAATTCTAGGATTACATTTGTAAATTAAATTGATTTTCACGATATATCTTCCGATTAGAGTGTCGGGATGAAAGCCTCTAATTGTGTTATAAAAATGAATAATTGATATGATTGATCCAATCCAATTGAGGGAATTTTGACGCTTCACTGCTTCGAATTATTGAGGGAATTCCGTCACTTCACTGCTTCGAATTATTGATTTTTATCCTTTAAATATTCTTTCATCTCCATATGGATATGACACCCCAAAACTGTGCTGCAACTATTGCGTTATTCTTTGGGCGTAATCAGGTACCGATGTATATCAATTTTTTTTTTATTTTAGGCTGAGATCCAAATATATTGGGGGTACAAGGTAGCAAAAATAGCGGCAACAGCTACTAAGGGAAAAATAAGGATATCCCTGCCGAGGTTGTGGTCCAACCCGAGGAGCCGAAGGTCGAGCCGGACAGCCTCTGAAATGGTGCCGATCTAAAGAGCTATCTCGACATTCTACTCCATTAGCTCCTCTTCCCAAAAAGTCTACATCTCTGTTACCTCATCAAGGGTTTCCATCAGTGCCCATCGCCATTCTAATCATTACTAATTTACTACTGCTAGCTCCTCGAGGTCGTAAGATAGGTGCCCAGATCTGTAAAGGCCCAATGTTGATAATTTGGTGGGCCACCGACCTGAGATACTCCTTGACTTTTTTAGGGCTCCATCCCCTTCAAAAGAGTCTACTGCAGCACTACCTTCCACTCAGAGAGTCAGCCACTCTCCTCACCAAAAGTTGGAACGAGATAGAGAAGTAGTATTTGGCTGAGATGCCTATGGGTGAGGCTATAATCTCAGCTCAACTCTACAACCTCATATATATTTTTTACACGATGTTTGTGTCAGAAAAGGTATTTTACCCAAGTTCTTATACTTCGAAATTTTTTGCTCTTTTTCAATTTCATAACTCAAATTACCTTATTATTTTTAGGTGAAGGTCGGGCTTGATAAAATGTTGGAGGTCAGAACCCTAGCATTAAGCTTATTTGAAAAAAATGGAGGTGGAAAAGGAAAGCTTTGCCAAAAAAAAAAAATATATTTTGAAGATCACCTCGACAAAATAGGGGTAGAGCTAAATGCCAGGTTGACCATAGTGCTCAAACTAATAGATGATAACAAGGCTTTGCAGATTTGGGGGAAAAAAGCCACTGCTCGAGCTGAAAATGAAAAGAAAAGGGCTGACGAAGAAAAAGCTTAGGCTGAGGAGGCCAATAAGAGGTGGCTGATGATGAGGTTAAGGTTTCTAGGACAGTAAAAGAACAGAGAGCCTCTATTGAGTTTGATGCTTTAGCTCAAGATTCTTATGTTATGAATTTAGGAGAAATGATATAGCACATCAATACGGAGAGGCCAGACTTTGACACCTCTTTCCTGGTACAGGCCTACAAGGAGCAACAAAAGGAGCTTGAATAGTTATTGAAGGCAGCAGGAGTTTGGATTTCCCTTGTCGGCGAAGATGTTGTGGATGAGTTCCTATCTCCACAGGACCCACCATTAGCCTCTTACTTATATTGCTGTATTATACTATTTTTGGCTTTTGTCGAACTTTTTGAAACTTCTTTTGGAATTCAAGTGTAA